CGTATGACCCACTCAAAATTCTTTTATTTCTACCTCTCTACTCAAAAAATAAATATTTTTTTATCTATATTTAAAACTACACATCTTTTATAAAATTGATTTATATTAATTATAAATAAACAAAAATATTTTTTTATTCACTTGTATGATAGAAGATTTTATTCTCTACAAAATGATATTCATATTGCATATATTTTTTAATTGCTATATAATTTTTTAAATACTTAAATATATTTTTTAATTTTTTTAATTATATATTAAATTTACTTTAAAACTATAAATATTATTAATTATACAAAAAAATAATATAATAACTAATTATTATTTATTAATTAAATATTCTCACCTTAAATACCGTGTCTCTAATAAAATGATTCAATTCCGATGGGACGGAGGGAGTATTTTAATTTTTGTTTGCTTCCTTCACATAGATCAAAGAATATTATGTAATATATTGTATAGGAGTATATTGATTAAAGCTGTGTTAGTTTGTATATGTTTTTAGATTTTCTAGTATTAATTAAATATTTTTTTTCAAAAATATTAAATCAAATATTTATTTAATATTTATATAATTATATCATATCAAATAATTATTAAAATTCAGAATTTCACTATATTCAAAATCCTATCCTCCAAATAAATACACTACTTTCTCTGTCCCAAAACTATAGTTTGGATTGTATTTGACACGAAATTTAAGGAATATTGATATTATATAAGTAGTGGATAAAAAGTACGGATAAAAGACTTTTTTGCCCTTTGTGAGTGTATCAGTGTAAAAAGTAGTGGCAATTGTGTAATAATAATAAAAAAATAAGAATAGTTTTATAGTGATATGATTATTTATGAAAATGAGACTATTGTTTTGAAACAGATAAAAATGGTAAGAATGACTATTGTATTGGAACGGAAGAAGTATAAAATATTTTTAAAAGTACAATAGGTTTGTTTGTCCAACTTTCTTTTTTTTTTCAACACACAATTCCAAATATATATTTTATCTTCTTACAAAATACAATATTTAATACAAATATTATTTTTAATATAAATATTATTTTTTCAATATACAATATTATTTTTTATATTATAAAATGCAATATTCAACATAAATATTATTTTGATATAATATTTCATAAAAAAAAAAAAATTATTAAGAATTGTGCCGAGTCAATAGTAATTTTTTGAAATTGAAATCACAATCAAACTTAAGATTATTTCTCTAAAATTAAACAATGCCGTATTCAATATTTATTTTTTTAAAAAAATAATATAATATAATATCAATATTGTAATTTTAAAAATAAAAAATTAATTTGATATTTCCTTTTTATAAAAAGTTAATAAATAGTAAAATTTGGATCGAAAAATGGACGACGAAACAAGTTATCCCCTAAAGTGACATCAATGATCAAACTGTTTTAGGAATTACTTAAGGTGTGTTTGTTTGGGAATTTGAATTTTTGTTTCAGATTTGAATAGCAAAAATTTTGATTTTGAAAATTATATGATGCGATATTTTGAATATAAAATTGGTTTTTAGCGTAATATAAACAATAAAAAATAAAAGTTTAATTTAATATTTTTTACATTTTCTTTTTTTTTTGATAAACAATAAAACTTCTGTAAAATTTGATAAAAGAACACACTTTTTGATAAATATGTATATTTTTCTACCATTCATCTAACCAACTATCCTTAAATTCGGACAAATATATCATAGGGTTCGACTTGTTATTTTCACAATAATTTATATTGTCCAAACATTCATCATCTATAGGTGATTAGATATTTTTTTAAAGAAATTTTATTTTCGCTCTGTTTAACTTATTACTTCCTCTGTCCCAGATATCGTGTCTGTTACACTGTAGACACCGTATTTTAGGAGGGATATAATTAATAAATAATTAAGAATGTATTAGTGATATAATTATTCTATAATATAAATAATTATAAATTAAGATTAAGATAACTAATTAGTTTAATTAAAATTTAAAAAAATAAAATTTAAAAATTTAAAATAAGATTAAAGTGTGTAATCATTTTCAAAAAAAGGAAAATGAGATGGTACATGGGACGGACTGAAACGGCAACGTGGACATGGTATCTGGGACGGAGGGAGTATTATATTCATTTTTTATTTTTTAAAAATTATATGTGACACAATAAATATTAATCACAAAAATTATGAAAATTAGATATGATATTTGTAACGAAAAATAAATGTCTACAGTTATGTGTTTGTTTTCGTGAATGGTAAAATTAAAAAAAAAAAAAAATTACTATTTTTTGTTTTACACTTAAATTTATATAAAATTTATTTATAATAAATAATTTTATTTATTTAAAATTTTATTACTCCTATTTTATCGAATAATAATTAATTTGTCAATATTTTTTTTTTATTTAATGTATCATTTTTTATCAATTATATTTAATAAATTTTCTATAATATCTCACTTTACTTTTTAATCTATTTCATTTTAATAAAATAGGGTATAATAAAAACTTTATTAAATAATTGATAGAAGATGATAGATATATTAAAGTATTACTCCCTCCGTCCCATATAATATGGGTGTATTACTGTAGACACGGAAATTTAGGTAAAGTATAATTAGTAAGTAATTAAGAAATGTATTAGTAAAAATAATTATAGATTAAGATTAAGATAACTAAATAGTTTAATTAAGATTAAAAAAAATTTAAAATTTAAATTTTAAAATATGATTAAAGTGTATAATTAATTTTCCAGAAAAAGAAAGGACAAATTATGTAGCACGATCGAAAATAAAAAATAAGGACAAATTATGTGGGACGGAGGGAGTATTATTTTTTAAATTATATGGTCCAAGCAAACTTATATGTGTTTCGTACAGGAAGGAGTATGTAATATTTAAACAGATAGAAAAATTTGTTGCTCGATAGTATAGTATAAGAATAATTTGATGGACAAACTTAAATAAAATTTTAAGACACAAATTTAGTACTTCATCCGTCCCATAACTAAGTATTCGTTTGTTTTTTGTACGTTGATATTTGTGTAATATATTGTAAATTGTAAGAGTATTTGTAATATTAGGTATATTTTTAAACCTGGCCGGGTTCGGGGCGGGTTATGGGTTTTACTAAAAATCCGCCCCAACCCGGACCCGGACCCGAACCCGGATATTTTTTAAAATTATTATAACTAATATATATGTACAATTATATAATAAAAATATATTATTTATTTACTTAAATAATTTTAAATATAAAATTCAATTGGTCGTGTGCTCCAAATAATTTTTTAAAATTATTATACCTAATATATGTATATTTATATAATAAAAATATATTATTTATTTATTTATCTTATTTTTATGGATCAATATTTGATTGTTTTTAGATTTTTTTTTTGTGCTTTTAATGCTATTTGTTTTAGTATTCGATTGTTAAAAAAATATTTATTATTATATATTTAAAAAAAAAACGGATTTGTCGGATTGGCCCCGAACGGGGCGGGTTTCGGAGCCTAATATTTTCTAGCGGGGCGGGTCTCGGGGCCTGCAGAACCTGTCCTGAACCCGCCCCGTTGACAACCCTAGGACTAAAATAGAAAATAGATAATTTCTTATCGGATGGAGGAAATAAATAGAACTTTCAAAATATATTTTTATTAAAAATATCATGTTAATATTTTTATTAAAAAATACATGAAATCATGTTCCTTTGAATCTTTTGTTACATACTTTTTATTTCAAATATGAAAAAATGTTTTGCTAATATAAAAATAATATAATATTTTTTTATTGAATTAAGTATGTGAATAGACAAAGTATATTTATTCCATATATATTGTAAAAATATGTACCTATTGTATTTTTTTGATAATATTAATAAAAAATATAGTATATACATAAAAAAAAAAATTACGATAAAAGAACATGTTGCCGCAATTCTTCGAGTATATTTTATATAAACTTTTGGCAGATTAGATCAGTAAAATAAGTCACATTAAGTAGACCATATGTAATAGAAAAACCCGCAAAAGTTTTATTTATATTAGATTCGATCGAAAATTTATCAAAAATAAAAAATAACAATTCCAAATTCCCAGATTATCAATATACTTCTCCTTTTCTAATTCAAAGTATTCTTTGTACCATTTTCGTCTGTCTCATTTCAAAATATCGTTTTCTATTTTAGAAACAGTAATCATACGCTAATACCAAAATACCATTAACTTTTTACTTAAATTACAAACATACTATTACACATACAATTACTTTACAAAAAAAAACGAAAAAGGACTAAAATGTCAAAATCTCTTACGCATTCCTACTAACCAATAATATATTACTCCTCTGTCCCACTTAATTTGTCCACTCTTTCTATTTTCGTCCGTCCCACATAATTTGTCATTTCTTTTTATGAAAATATAATTATACATTTTAATTACATTTTAAAATTCATAATTTATACTCTCTTTGTCCGCTTCTAAGGGTCATATTTATATTTTGCAGTCATTATACTTTACAATAAAAATATCCTTACATATATATAATTTTTTTTTTGTACAAATATCATTCTATTAGTATTATAAAACACTAATGAAAATATTTTTGTAAATTTTTTTAATTTGTACTACGTTTTGATATAATAATTAATATTCAAATCTCAACATGCAAAAAAGTAAATGAGACTCTCAGAGCCGGACAGAGGTAGTAATATTTTTTTTATTTAAATTAAGCTATTTAGTCGTCTTAATTTTAATATATAACTATTTTTATTAAATCATAATTACTTTTACTACTATATTTTTTAATTAGTTACTAATTACACAATATCTAAAATTCTGTATCCACGAGATAAATTAGCTGCTAAAAAAAAAAAAATATTATGTTTCATTTTATAAATTTACTATTTACCTAACGAACTTAATTGCTAACACCCACGTCCCACCAAGGATCACTACATATATATATATATATATATATAAGCTTCATCTACACAAACTTACACGCACATTTTTCTCAATTCTTACTCTCACTTCCTCATATGGCCCTTACTCTCACTCTCACTCTCATTTTCTCTCTCCTCTCTCTTCACTCCGCCGCGCCGCCGCCGCCGTTCGACAAAATCTACGCCTTCGGCGACTCCTACACCGACACCGGAAACACCAAAACCTCCACCGGCCCCACCGCCTTCAACTATGTCTCGAACCCGCCTTACGGCATCACATTTTTCCACCGCCCGACCAACCGATACTCTGACGGCCGCATCGTCATAGACTTCGTCGCGGAGGCGCTTTCCCTACCGTTGCTCCCGCCCTACCGTGATGCGACGGCCGATCGGTCGCACGGCATTAGCTTCGCCGTCGGGGGTGCCACCGCGATCCGGCACGGATTTTTTTTAAAAAATAATGTGACTTTTAATCTCGTACCACAATCTTTGCAAACTCAACTTGTTTGGTTTAACAAGATTTTGGCGAGCCATGGGTGCATCGACTTGAGACGTACCCCAAAAGAGTGCGGGGGTATTTTCGGTAATTCACTTATTTGGCTCGGGGAAATCGGCGCCAACGACTACACATCCACCCTCGGATCTTCCATCCCGAAAAGTACTATTCAGAACATCGCGGTCCGATCTTCCGCCGGCTTTATTCAGGTTTAAGATTTATGATTTCGAAATTTATAATATTGAGGGTGACATTTATTTTAAATTTTTAAATTTTATTTTAAAAATGATAAAAATAATTAAACATCTAATACAAAGTCCTTTAGTTTTGGTTTCAAATAAAAACTTAACAGAATTTTTAATAAAATATACTTTCTTTGTAGGTACTACGAGTCTTACTGTATGATTAGTAAATAATTAAAAATATATGAATGAAATTAATTATAATATAATACAAATAATTATAAATTAAAATTAAGATAACTAATTAATCTAATAAAAATTTAAAAAAATTATAAAATTTAAAATATGATTAAAATATAAATTTTTTCTAAGAAAAAAAATGGCGTAATATGTGGACGAACGAAAATGAAAAATGTAATATTATATTTGGAACAGAAAGAGTATTATTTTTTTCTAAAAAATACGTATTGTTTAAACTAAAATTTAAAATAAAAAATAATCAAACTCAAACAATAACTAAACAAACCTATTTTTAAAAGATATTACTCTCTCGTCCCTTAACCATCTATCAATTTTTTTTTTTTATTTTGGTCGGTATCTTAACAATCTATCTAATTTCTTTTTTAGTAATTGTACTGTCTATCTAATATTACAAATATCATTTCAATTTACAATATATTACACAATTGTCATTACATTTATATCATACAATACTAATAAGGTTATTTAGTTTTTTTTTTTTTACTTTTATTTCTACTACATTCCAATATAATACTAATATTTCTAAAACTTCATGCAAAAAGCAAATTGATAGATAGATATGGGACGGAGAAAGTAATATTGATAAATAATACTCCATCTGTCCCGGCTATCGTGTCATGTTTACTGTAGATATGAGAATTTAGGAGGAATTTAATTCAAAAATAATTAAAAATGTATTAGTAAAAATAATTATTATATAATAAAAATAATTTTAGATTAAAATTAAGATAACCAATTAGTCAAATTAAAATTAAAAAAATTTAATGTGTAATTAAAGTATATAATTGTTTTTTTTAAAAAAAAAAGAAAAAAAGACAAAATAAGTGAGACAAAAGAAAATAAAAAGGTGGACAAGATAAGTGGGACCGGGGGAGTGTAAAACTTTTAAAATTGTTTTAAGGGTGTGTTTGTTTGAGGGATTTTGCCAAAAAGTCCACTATTCATTCAAATTTTTTTCCCAAAAAACATCACATTAAACACTTATTTTTTATTTTCTATATTATTCTAAAAATCAATTTTACAATTAAAACATCTGGTCAACATCTATTTATATCATATCATACAACTATTCTAATTCAAAATTTTTACTATTCAAATCTCAACTAAAAATCCAAACCTCCAAACAAACACACCCTAAAGTAGACGCTTAATAATAATACTTCCTCCGTTCCATAACAAGATATCCATTTACTTTTTGTTCGTTGATATTTGAATATTAATTATTATATCAAAATATATTACAAATTAAGGGAAAATAACAAAAATATTTCTATTAGTGTCTTATAATACTAATATAATGATATTTGTACAAAAAATTATACAATTTTTAATGTTAAGTACAACGCAAAAGACAAATAGGACAGATACATACCTTGTTAGGCTACGGAGAGTGTAATAATATTATTATTATTAATATTATTAATAATTGAATTAAATTATGTATTTGTGTGATACATTGTTAGGCAATAGTGGACAAGGGTGCAAAGTACATCGTTGTTCAAGGCCTCCCGCCGACGGGGTGCTCGCCGTACTCCTTCTCCCTGGCGGCGCCGGAGGACCGCGACGCCGCCGGTTGCGTGGCGAGCATGAACTACCAGACCTACCGCCACAACGCCGCCCTGCAGGCCAGCTTGGAGGCCCTCCGGCGGAAGAATCCGGCGGCGATGATCGTCTACGCCGACTACTACAACGCCCATTTAACGGTGCTGAAGAACGCAGGCCGGTACGGATTCAAGGAACCGTACAGAGTCTGCTGCGGCTACGGCGGCGGCGAGTACAACTTCGACGTGTTCAACACGTGCGGGTCGCCGGCGGCGGCGACGGCGTGCGCGAATCCGGCGGAGTATATAAACTGGGACGGAGCGCATTTTACGGAGGCGGCGTACAGAGTGATGACGACGTCGTTTTTGAACGGGAGCTACTGCAGCCCGCCGTTCCGTTATTTGCTGAGCAGGAAGGTGGAGTCGTCGTGATTGATGGATGGAGGAATCTCAGCCGTCGGATCTGGACTGTTCTGGACTGGAGCATTTAAAAGTGTTGGTGGTGTTTATTGTGGTGTGTGTAAAGCCTCCATTAATGCCTGGAGTTTGGAGCTATCTTATTTCTCTGTGTTTTTTTTTTTTTTTTTCTACGGTTTTATTTAATTTATTATTGAAAGAAAATTGGTGTAATTGTGCTAAATTAATGTAGTGCAATGGCTGCTGATTTTTTGTGTTTTTGGAGTGGTTTGAATTTACGGCGTGTTTACGTGTGATTACGGGTTTATTTTGGAACGGACAATAGATGAAAGTCAAGAAGTCATTGTACTAGCCCTGATTTAGCATATGCTATTAGTTGTTTGAGTTGATGCATGGCTAATCCGGGTATAGAACATTGAAATACTCTTAAGTGTACTTTTAGGTATTTAGTGGGTACTGTTGGTTTATTTTAGGAATTAGAAGGAGAAAAAATTGAGAAACTGAAACTTGATCTTATTGTTTATTCGCTTGAGGAGAGACTATATAAATAGCAATAAAAACTGAATCACCAACTACTTCCTAAAAGCTAGGAACAACCCTAACTAAGTTATTTGAAATAGTCCACAAATTCAAAAAAACTGAAACATAAATAAAATAAAGTTGACGCACCAGATTAAGTACGATTTCAACACTCCTCCTTGCTTTGAATGCTGCAAACTCTAAGTCTCTCTCTAAGAAACTCAAATTTGCTTCTTGATAAAGGCTTTGTTAGTATGTCAGCTAACTGCAGATCAGTTTTGCAATACTTTAAGCCAACCAAGCCTTCTTTCTGAACTTCCCTAAGAAAGAATAATTGATCTGGAAATGCTTGGTTTTTCCATGAAAGATAGGATTATGAGAAATTGCAATTGCAACCTGATTATCCATAAAAATGTTGATGCTTTTGTCTTGTTTCAAATTCAGATCTTCCAACACCTTTTTTAGCCAAAGTGCTTGATTTACAGCTGCATTAGCGGCTATAAATTCTGCTTTTGCTGTAGATTGAGCCACCGTATCCTGCTTTTTGGAGCACCATGAGAATACTCCTAAACCAAGCTCAAAACAATAGCCTGAAGTACTTTTCGTATCATCCGGCGAACCTCCCCAATCACTATCAGAATAGCCCTGTAGAACACACTCTTGATTTCAAGAAAACTTGATTCCATAACTAAGTGTTCCTTTTACATATCTAAGGACACGCTTAGCAACCATAAGATGAGTGTCAGTTGGATAGCTCAAAAATCTGGATAGAAGGCTCACAGTGTACAAAATATCAGGCCTTGTAGCTGTCAAATACATCAAGCAACCCACCAAGCTTCTATAGAATGTTTCATCAACCTTTTCAGCTCCTTCTTCTTTCTTCAGCTTTTCCTTTTAAGGCATTGGAGTGCATACACTTTTGCATTCATCCATTCTAAATTTCTTTAGAATCTCCTTTGCATATTTTTCTTGATAAATGAACACTCCATTGTTTTGCTTTATTTCCATTCCTAGGAAGTAAGTCATTTTCCCAAAATCTGTCATCTCAAATACTTTATTCATATCTTCCTTGAACTTCCTTACAAGTTCTTCATTGCTACCTGTTACTAACAGATCATCTACATATAATGAAACAATAATGAAATTGATTTCATCACCTTTTATGTAGAGTGTAGCTTCATTGACACTTTTCTTAAACCCCAATTGCAAGAAGTGCTCGTCAATTCTGCTGTACCAAGCTCTTGGAGCCTGATTTAGGCCATACAAAGCCTTCTTTAGCAAGTACACATCATCTTCTTGCCCTTTCACAATAAACCCTTCGGGTTGTTCAACAAAAATCTCCTCCTCCAAGAGACCATTTAAGAAGGCTGATTTAACATCGAGTTGATAAACTTTCCAGCCTTTATGTGCAGCTATTGCAAGCAATAATCTGATAGTGTCCAGCCTTGCAACATGAGCAAAAGTGTCAAAAAAATCAACACCAGCAATCTGAGCATACCATTTCACAACAAGCCTAGCTTTATGCTTGTTTATTGAGCCGTCAGGATTCAACTTTGTACGGTACACCCATTTCACTCCAATTACTTTTCTATCAGCTGGCCTTTTCACTAATATCCATGTTTGGTTTTTATTAATCATCATGATTTCATCTTCCATTGCAAAGGTCCATTTTGGATCATTTTTTGCTTTTCAGAAATTTGTAGGTTCAAAAACAGCTACATTGCATCTTTCATAAATAGTAGATAATGATCTCATACCTCTAATAGGGGGGTCATCAATTAACTCATCTTCTTTGAGTTCCATTGTTGGAGCTGGATCAGAACCAAGGTAATTTGTTGCTTTTCATTCCAATCCCATGAATCATCTTCCATGAAATGCACATCTCTGCTTATTAGAATTTTCTTACTATGTGGTTGGAAAACTCTATAAGCCTTTGAGATTGTGCTATAACCGATGAAAATTCCTGCTTCTGCTCTTTTATCCAGCTTATCCCTTCTGTTTGTGGAACATAAACAAAATAGGGACAACCAAATACTTTGAGATTTTTTAAGAAATGTTTGAATCCATACCAAACTTCATGTAGAGTCTTGTCGGCTAAAGCTTTGACAGGCAGCCTGTTAAGGAGAAATACAGCAGTATGGACTGCTTCTGCCAATATTCCTTCGGCAAATTCTTCTCAAACATTAAGCATCTAGCCATCTCCATTATGGTACGATTTTTTCTCTCACTGACTCCATTTTGTTGTGGTGTGTATGGAGCAGTGAGCTGGTGTTCAATTCCAGTCTCTTCACAGAAAATATTAAATTGATTGAAAGTATACTCTTTGCCATTACCTGATCTCAAGCTCCGAATTTTGCAACCACTTTGTGTTTCAATCCATTGTTTGAATTTTAGAAACACACCAGCAACTTCAGACTTGTATTTGAGGAAATAGATCCAACAAAATCTAGAATAATCATCAATGAAGATCAAGAAATACCTACTTCCATTTAGTGATGGACTTCTGTGAGGTCCGGCTAAATTTGTGTGTATCAACTTTAGCTTCTTAGTAGCTCTCCAAGTGGCTTTCTTGAAAGGAAGTCGTGATTGTTTTCCTAATTGAAAAGTTTTGCAATCTGAAATTTCAGATTCAAGATTAGGAAGACCTTGAGCCAAATCCTTTGCCTTCAAATTCAACACTGCTTTATGGTTGAAATGTCCAAGCCTTTTGTGCCAAACTTCTGCATTTGATTTTTTAGCAAAAAAGGCATTTTGCTCCTCCTCCAAAGGATCAAGTGCAAAGCTTTTTCCATCCATTTTTACTTTGAAGACATCATTACCTTTTGCATCCCTTATTAGGCAATAATTATTTTCAAATATCACATTGAAACCATTATGAATCAACTGCGCAACACTCAACAGATTTTGGTTGAGCTTTGGTACATACAATACATCATGTATAAACCTTGTACCTGAGGTGGTTTCAATCGCCACAGTCCCTTTTCCTTCAGATGCAATATGTTCTCCATTGCCAACCTTCACCACCGAAACTACAGTAGTATCCAATTTCTTAAAGAGATCTCGATCAAATGTCATGTGGTTGGTACAACCACTATCGATGAGCCACTTCTCACTCGAATGGCATGTTTAGAAACAAGAGGCAACAAAGAGCTGCTCTTGTTCTTGATCGGCAGTTTGAGCGGCATTCATGTGTTGAGTGTCACTTTTGCAGATTTTCTGATGATGACCCTTTTTGTTGCACTTCTCACACTTTTGATCTGGTCGTTTCCAACACTTGAAAGGTGGATGCCCTTTCTTTCCACAATGATTGCAAGGAGGAAATTCAGACAGCTGGTCTGGCCGTTTCCAACACTTGAAGGGTGGATGTCCCTTCCTTCCACAATGTTTGCAAGGAGGAAAATTAGGCTTTGTACCCTTTAGTGTATTGTGAGAATCAAAATTTGAGTTTCCTTTCTTAGCTTGAGTACTCTGATTTTTTGCAACTAATGCCCCTTCAACTGTTTCTTCAGATCTCATCAACCTTCTTTGCTCTTGTGATTCCAATGCTTGCGTCAATTCTGTCAAGCTCATTCTTGACATATCTTTAGTATTTTCAAGTGAAGATATAGTGGCTTCAAACCTTTCAGGAACAGTTACTATAATTTTTTGAACTATTCGGGAATTTGAAAGTTGAGAACCAAGAAGTCTTACTTTGTTTGCAATTACGAGCAATCGGTCAGAGTACTCTTTCACAGTTTCAGATTCCTTCATCCTTTGAAGCTCAAACTCTCTCAGAAGGTTCATAACTTTCATTCATTTGATCCTTTCATCTCATTTGTACTCCTTCTTAAAAAATTCCCAGACTTCATAGGCTGATTTCAATATCATGATTTTGACAAAAATTTCTTGTGAGACAGCGGAAAAGAGTGTTGCCTTTGCCTTTGACTTTCTTGTTTTCTTCTGGGTGTGAGTCCGGATTTGCGCCATAGTTGGATTTTCAGGTAGTTGAGGAACTTCGTAGTCCTCTTCTACTGCTTCTCATAAATCATTTGCCTCCAAATGAGCCTGTATACGTGCAGCCCAAATTTGGTATCCTTCCCCGTTGAACACTGGCGGTGCCAGCGCAGTGAAGGTAACTTCTGAATCCATGGTGACTTCGAGTCGATCAAAGGTCCTTAAGAAGTAAGCTCTGAAACCAGATTGTTGGTTTATTTTAGGAATTAGAAGAAGAAAAAATTGAGAAACTGAAACTTGATCTTATTGTTTATTCGCTTGAGGAGAGGCTATATAAATAGCAATAAAAACTGAATTACCAACTACTTCCTAAAAGCTAGGAACAACCCTAACTAAGTTATTTGAAATAGTCCACAAATTCAAAAAAAATTAGAACATAAATAAAATAAATAAAATAAAATTGACGCAGCAGATTAAAGCACGATTTCAACAGGTACTTTAGACATAGGCTTGGTGTTTGGTAGACATGTGCATGATATTAACTTGATTGACTATGTTGGTTCAAATTATGCGAACGATACGGACATTAGGAAGTCTACTACATCTTACTTGTTTACTTTATGTGGTTCTTGCATTAGTTGGAAGTCGCAATTATAACATATTGTGGCTCTTTCTACGATGGAGTTGGAATATGTTGCAATTACCGAAGCTTTAAAAGAAGCACCGTGGCTAAAAGGACTTTTAAATTAATTAAAATACTTGAACAATGAAGTAACAGTATTTTCGGATAGTCAATCGGGGATTCAATTTTGTAAAAATCCAGTTTTTCATTATCGTACCAAACACATAGATGTT